TCACCGTCCCCCCCCCCCACACTGTACACTGGGCCTTGAGCTTGGCTCAGATGGTCTTTTTTTCTTTTCGCTTATCATGGGGCATTTTTTATGTCTATTTTTCGGAGGTTTTTTTCGTTCATTTTATTTGAATAGATCAATTTATTTATTTTTATTTTTCTCATGTTATTAAGAAATACAGGCAAATCTTTTTAGCCTTTAAACATAACTTCGATACGAGCAGGGAAAACTGATTGTTTTGCCCCGTGTGAAGTTTTATGAAATTTTGTATACGATAATTTTAATTGGATGCAGTCCAAATTGATTATGAAATCAGTGGTTGTAGAGGTATTAATTAAGCATATTAATTATATATATAAAAAAAGATCACAGTGGATTGACGCGAAATAAATCGGATCTCCAGTTACCGAGAAAGTAAACGAAGCATGGTTACAAGATACAATTCGAGATCTGAGTCACGAATTAACAAATAGATATATAAATTCACGAGTCAGCTCACGTTATGATTGTTTTAAAAAAATTAATGAAACTGATATTGTTGTACATTAAAAAAAATTAAATGAAATTGTTTAAGTACAAAAATCAATTCAAAGTAAAACCTCCTTAGCCTAGGTTTTAAATTGATAGGTCATTAATTTAAATCATCAAGTCTGACCTGTTGTACAACACTGAAATTAACAATTTAAAAGTTAAAATTATAATTAAAAAATCCAACCAAAAATCAAATAAAACTTCAGTCGATTGTTAACCTCTAAAAAAATCATAAAAATGTCAAAATAATGTTTTTTTAACTAATATTTTCTCAAAATACAAGTTAATGAATATTTTATTTGATTTTAAATATATCAATCAAATCACTGATCAATCTAGTTTTTTTATTGGATGAACTCTCTCTTTCTTTAATTTTTTTTCTTTAACTTATATAAATTCAGGTTTCAACTTAACTTATCAGGTCAATTTAGGTTTTTAACTATAATCAAGAGAGTATTTAACAATGCAAATAACTGCATGATTTTTTAAATAATTATTTTTGTTTAATTTTTTTTAGATTATTTTGATAAATTAATATTAAAAATAAATTTTAAAAAATAAAAATAAATATTATTTTAATAAATTTATAAATAAAAAATACTTTAAAAAAATAATATAATATTAACTAAAACCCATGTATACAAGAAAGCCTCATAATCGTTGCTTTTTATTATTAAAAAATAAAAATATTAATCTTGTACTCTTAAATGATTAAATAAATAAATTAACATGGTAAAATATCTTCCGTAAAATTTATCCTTTTCAATTAAAAAACAGCTGAATCTCATTAATAAAGATTACCCACTTGTTAGAACATGTTTGAAATATAAAGTAAATTATATTTTTAAAATTTTTAATTTTTTAAAATTCTTCTGATCTTGAATGTATTAAAAATAATTTTTTAAAAATAAAAAATATTATTTTAATATATTTATAAATAAAAAATATTTAAACTACCACGACACTAAACAGTACATTAGTATGTTTCAAAAACACATTTCAATCTTGTACCTGAAATTACCAAAATATTTCCATCTCCCTTGGTAGCCAAGACAACTCCCCGAACGAACCGGCTTCCGGTCCAGACTCGCATCGTACCCCACCTTAACGCCATAAAACTGAGGGCACATCAAATATCTTGAATGACCAAAATAACCCACGTCACCCCATCCTAGAAACGCCAAATCCATCCCAGCGAGTAAATTATATTTTAGTCTATTTATGTTTATAAAATAAATAAAATAGTCTTTTTAGTTTTAAAAATTAATTAATTGGTCCTTTGATAAATGTCGACCATGTCTATTTTGATATTCCTCTGTTATTGAATTTTTTTCTCGTCACTCCTTTTAAATTATTTACTTTTTAAAAATAAAAAACATTATTTAATAAAAAATAATCAAAGCTCTTCCATTGCATAAAAGCAACCCTTGGAATAAAAGTTTTGTCATCATTATATATATATATAAAAAAAACTAAAATTCATTGCTGTTTCAGTATAGATTATGCATGGTGTAATTCACGGTAAAACAACTATAATTCCTTTAACAACATCAAATAAAAAACATGTATATACACTTCTGGGTAGAGTTGTATTTAAACATGTAATGACTCCTGTACCCTTGGAAAAAAATAACACAACTAGTGTTCAAAGAGCATTTTTAGATTTTCATATTTTTTATATGGTGTATTCATCATGTAACTTTTAAAGTCAAAAATTGTTTTTGCTTAAAATCAAGGGGTATTTTAGGTTTTTAACTTTGGTTTTTTTGGAATTATCTAATGAGATAAAAAATATTCTAATCATACGTGTAAAGTATCATGTCACCCTCTTCATAGTGACTTGATGTATGCAAGCCTTCATGACATAAATAAGATCCAATAATAATTTTTTTTCTCCTATTATTTTCTCCTATTATTTTATACCTCTTTCACCTCAAAATGTGTGTTGGATTTGCAAGATGGTCTTTAATTATTTAATTATACCAGTTTTGATTTATTTGTTTTTTATTTTTATTAATTTACATTTATTTTTCATGTCTTTTTATCAAATTTAATTTGTATTTCTTTATTGTTTATTATGCCTTTAATCTATTTTTATTTGATTTTATTTCTAATTTAATCTCTAATTATTTGATTTTAATTATTTTTTTCTGGTTGAATTTGATCCCCATTTTTAAGATCGTGATTCCTTTTATTTTGAGTTATTTTTTTAATTATTTATTTTGTTTTTACAATTTTATCCCTTATTATTTAATTTTATTAAATTTTTATATTATATTTGGAGCCTATTTGTTTATCATGTTTTTAGAACCTGATCTATAAATCAACCTCGATTATATTCTAGGTCACGGTTTAGGTTAAATAACTGAAATTATCAGGGCTAGTTGGATTTTTTATCTTGCAATAAGTAAAAAAGATATTATTCTAAAAATAAATAATGATAAAAAAATAAATAGGTGTTGACATGATTTTTTTCTAATTACTCGCATGATTTTTTTCTAATTACTCGCTTAATTTTTTTATTTGGCTAAAGAGTAATGTATTATTTTGATAAATAAATAATGATGAAAGAATTCAATTGTGATCCTATTTTTTTGTTGGTGTTTATTTATTTTAGATTTCTTTTTAGATTTTATTTTTTCATGTTTCATCTATTTCCATTTTATTTTTGTTTTGTTTTTATATTAAATACGATACTTATTTTCTTGATGGTTGCTCTTTTATTTTTTATTTCAATTTTATCTTTCAATATTTTTTTTCATATTTAGTTTTTATTTTTTTAGTTGTTAGTTTTCTTATCTTTTTGTTTGTTTGTTTTATCTTTTATTTTTTTTCCATTGGAGTTTTATTTCATATGTTTTTTTTATTAAATTTTGGTTACTATTCTTTTAATTGCTATTCTTTATTGTATTTTCCGATCAAATCCCTTACTATTTTCTTTTATATCAAATTTGATTCTTATTATTTTGATTATTATTTATTTTATTATTTATTTTTTGTTGTTTAAGACTTTTATTTATGATATATTTTTAATATTTTATATATTTATTTTAATCTCATGATCAAAGTTATTGGTTTAAAAGATTAGTTAGATTTAACTTTATTTTTTAAAATTTTATTATTTAATATTAAATTACTAAATCTTTAACTTTTTAGTTTTTTTCTTCATTTTAAAGTTATCCAGATAGCAAATTAGTCAAATTAATTTAAATTTATTTAGATTATCATCGTTTAAATATTTTTTTTATGCTAGAAAAAAACTGACGTACCTCGCCGGCAAAAAATTATAGTCATTTACTAAAAATGGACACATAAGGACTGGACAATTAATTTCTAAGTTCAGAAACTATTCAATCAATCTTGAAAAACTAGAGGGACTAAGTTATAATTTACGCCCACAAGCACCCAAGTCGTTTGAGGGGCCTTTTAGTAAATCAACAAACAAAGAAATAAAACGACCACATCAATTTGGGGACCACATCTTCCCCACCACAACCAAGCAATTTCTTCTTTTCAGTTTTCTCAATTATTCACAAATAAAATAATACCAATCACAAAACAAACATTTAAAATAATTATTCTATTCAATTTTATTATTTCAAAAACTCCCTATTTTTCTCGGTTTCGCCTTCGAGATATCCCCCTTCCATCGCTTCTCCAGAATCCAAATCCATCTCCTTCTCTCTAAAATCAATCTCGCTCCTTGTTCCTGCTCTTGCATTAGCGATCCATAACCCTTTTCCCCTTCATTTTAGATCTCCGCTGTCTCTGGTGTTTAACTCTTTGAGCATCCATGGTGACTTTTTTATTATTTTGTGAATTTAGAATCTTTTCCTTTCTGCTTTCAGTTTTATTGAGCTGTAACTTCTTTGAAAGGAAAGAAGTCGTCGTTTAAGTTTCTTTTAAGGAAGAGCAGAGAGTGGGTAAAAAAAACTTTAATAAGTGTTTTTTTTATAAAAATAATCCAGGCTTGAAAAATAAGAGCTTAAATTAGAGCGCTATATAGTTGAATTCGGCTTGGTTTTCATGACTTTTTTAATTTATTTCTTTTTGTGTGGCGTATGCTACCAGATTCTCTCTCTTTCTTATCTTCTTTTCTGTTGCCAGCGATCAAACGGAGATTCATTCTTTTAAGGTGCTAAGCTGTAGATTATTACTACGCTTCTCTGTGTTTTTTTACTTAATTTTTGTTATTTTTATGGATTTGTTTTTTGCATTTCTTGTTAAATAAAGATTTGAAGAGATTTCACTGATCTTGCCGTCTGTAGATGATCAATTAGTGTGTATGCGTTGGGTTTTCTAGTGTGTTTTTTTTATTGTTTCAAGATGATCAATTACCTTTTCTTTTCTTTTTTTTAATTGTTAGAAATTCAAATTTTGAATTATTGGAAATATTAATTTCCTTTTCGAAATTGATACTCCGTGTTTTAATGATTTTTTTTTGGTATTTGTTGCATAATTAGGGTGACTTAGGTTGATTTCGTCATTTTAGAACATAAACCCTAAGCAACAAATGAATGCTTAAAAGCTTTAGATCGATAATGTCTCCATTTTTCCTTTTCTTTTATTTTTATCTCATTTTTATATGAAATTCTTCTTAGTTCTGTTTTTATTTTTAATCAATTTAATTATTTATTTGCAGGCTTGCAGCTGAGCCCTATTTCTTGACGAAGGAGCATGGTTAGCTAGTAAATTACAATAAATGGCTTGAAATCCAAACTTGAGAATGCTTCGCTAGTAAAGGTTTTAGTGGAGGAGAGATTGGTTAATCTTAGATGATACAAGCTGATCGCAGCTTGTAGAAGCTGCCCTTAAGCATGTTGATGATAACTTGGCTGATATTTAATCACCCCTACCATGACATCTGTCTTCCTGTCGATGTTGTATATAACAAGTTACAGTTTAGCAGTAAACCTTGCATTCACGCTAGTAACCAACACTATGTTGAAAGTGTAGAGGCCTCTACCGGGAGGTTCTTGGAAGTCCTTTGACAAATTTTTGATTGTCATTTGCTACAATTCTAACAATGGAAAGGTATATATCCTGTATGTTTGTGTAAGATTTTTATTATTCTTGAGTGACGCAGGGTTTTCTTGGATAACGTTTTATTATTTTCTTCTCAGGTATAAAATTTTGGAAGAGATTGGTGATGGTACTTGTGGTTGTGTATTTAAGGCCGTCAATATCGAAACATATGAAATTGTAAGGAACTCTTCACATAAACACCTTATTTTAGCTGTTATTATACTTCTCAGTGGATTCAATGGTAGTAAAATTGTTTTTATCCAATCTGTTGCACTTAATATAAAAGCTACCCATGAACTCTTATTTTACAATGGCTGAGAGTCAGAGAAATGAGGAGTGCATTAAATTCATGTATAATATAAATGTATAGCTGAGAGGCCTGTTCTTCACCTGACATTGAAATCTTCAGTATTAGAAGTCACAAAGCTAGCTAAAGATGCATGGAATAACAACTATGGTTAAACAATATGAGATGACATTAAGCTGGAAATCTCAGGTGTTGGGAACTCCTTTCTCACAATTTGAGTTGTATACTGCATTTATAATGCCCTAAGTGGGTTTATTTGGCAAATTGTTGTGTTTAAATTTGCAGCCACACCTGTGGGGCAAAAGAAAACTAAAAGTATCGCTGTTATCCTGTTTTTGTAAGAAAGGAGTTCCTTGTGTTTCCTGTTTGATTGTTAAAATTATTGTCACAGTTCTATTTCTGATCTCAGGTTGCCGTGAAGAAAATGAAGAGAAAGTTCTATTTCTGGGAAGACTGCATGAATTTACGAGAAGTAAAGGTACGTTCCTTGGTAATGTTTGTATCATCAAACTGTTTCACATGATAAGTTTGCTTAGTAAACAATCAAGTTTAACATTGTCTTCTGCAGGCCCTCCATAAATTGAATCATCCCAATATTGTAAAGTTGAAAGAAGTTGTCAGGGAAAACAATGAACTATTTTTCATTTTTGAATACATGGTAAGGGATCTTGTGTTCTGGGTCCATGCTACTTTTTACGCATGACTTATGTCTCTCTTGTTTGAAAACCCCAGTAATACTCTACTAATTCTTAATCCTAATCCAGTATCATCAGCTACATGAATCATTTTCTTCCAATTTACCTTGTTGAAGGCCGTATTTTTCTTGAGATGCAAAGCTTCTAGTTCTGATCATCATTTTCGATGCTGTAGACATTATTACTCGTTGTTTTTCGCTAGGGTGGGGATTTTATGCTTTGAAACTGAAACTTGAATAAATCAATAAATGACTGTTCATCAACTAGTAATTGCTTGTTTCTGGAATTTTCCCTACAAGGAATGCAATCTGTACCAATTAATGAGAGAGCAGCAGGGATCGTTTTCAGAGGAAGAGATACGGAACTTTATGTCTCAGGTGCTTCAAGGACTTGCTCACATGCATAGAAATGGATATTTTCATCGGGATTTGAAACCTGGTAAGACAATTTGTTTTTCTATTATGAGTGTCGTTGATAAATTCATGGTTTATGATCAATTTTTCTTGGTGCTTAGAGATTTTTACATGGAATATGAATAATTAACGATCATTTCATTTTCAGAGAATGTGCTTGTGACGAAGGATGTTCTTAAAATTGCTGACTTTGGATTGGCTAGAGAAGTTTCATCAGCACCCCCTTACACTGAATATGTTTCCACACGGTGGTAAGGATTTCTTCTTATCCATTACATGTTAGTGTTTCTTTGTGCATATCCATGACATTTCTGGAAAACATTTTTTTTCACTAAAAAACACTACAGTTCTCATTTCTTTTTGGTCTGGCTGCTAGGTACCGAGCTCCAGAGGTTTTGTTGCAGTCCTCAACATATACTCCTGCAATTGGTATGCTTTCTCTCTCTCCTCGTCCATTTGAAACTCTTTTCACCTTTTTTTTTTTAAGTTTGAGCTGTTTTACCCTCAGAAAAAAAGGTTGGGATGGATTATATTGGTCAACTGATCCCTCTTTTCCTTTTTTGCCTATTTGAATCTAACTTCAGAATTACAGATGTTGATATGTATATCGAAATCAGTTTTAGAGAAGTTTTCTTTTGCCGTCAGAAATATTTTAACTAGAACTATCAATTAATACTTTGTCACTTGCCGAGTGAAGGTGTTTAATCATCTGCTAGGATGACCATTTCTGGTCCTGAATGTCAGCTCCAGCAGGAACAGTTCAATGTGTTGAAAGTTTTCAACATTGTCTATAATACATGAATAAGTTGATGCATGAGTCCTGTGAATAAACTGATGATGCTTAACCTGCAACTCCATTCCGTTTTATGCATTGGTTTTGTAGACTGATTTATTGTAGCATTTTTCTCTCATCCATTGATAACTAACCCCTGAAAGTATATACAGATATGTGGGCAGTTGGTGCAATAATAGCTGAGCTTTTCACTCTGTCCCCAATTTTCCCTGGTGAAAGGTGATTCTATGCTCTTTAGTTTCATGCCTTTAGTAAGAAAGATGTGGTTTCATATAATTCTGTTTCTGGTTTTGTTTATTGTTCTACTAGCCACTCCTGTACACACCCACTCAAGCTGAATTAAGCAAATGCTATCAGTCTATAGCAAGATGGTTCATTGATATTTTTTTCTTCATGTGTTAGACCATTAAAATAACTTAGATCTCCCAATTAAACTGGAGTGAGGATACTGATTAACTTGAAGATAAATTAGTACTAATATTCATCTGCTTGTTCTCTCCTTCTCATGCATTGTTAGCTGATAATTACTCTTCTGTTTAGACAGATGGATTTATAATATAAGAAAAGGTATGATGGACTATAATCTCATGAAGTAATAAATTGTAGAATGCAGGCTTATGTTTTGGACAGTTTTTACACGAGGCCATTATCTGGTCATGGTCTGGCTGAAGTGGAGTCCTGATAGGGAGGATTAGAAATTACTCCAATTATTCAGCAATTTTACATGAACATTTATTTTCATTTGATTTGATTTGTTCTGAATTAAAGAAAAACCTGAAAAACTAATTGAATTTTCTTTGTTAATTTAATTTCCCTTGCACAGTGAAATAGATCAGTTGTACAAGATATGCTGTGTTCTTGGTACCCCAGAGTTGGCTGCATTCCCTAAAGCTACAAATGTCTCTCAACTGATGAACCTGAGTTGTGCAGAGGTAAGCTAAGCTATTTATGTTTTCCATTCCCCCATCTTTTATGTTTTGACTTTGTGTTTACGGTTATTGTTATTGTTCATTTTTTTTTGTCAATTATTGTTTGTGGACAGATGTTACCTGCCAACCTATCTGATATCATTCCCAATGCTAGCTTGGAAGCTATTGATTTGATTATGGTGAGTATTGATGTTGATATGACATCATGATGTTTTCATTACCAATTATTTCTGGTTCATCCTGAACTAAACTCGTGTTTTGCTGCATTTTAATTATTTTAATGCTTCATGTTGACTTTCTATAGCAATTGTGTTCGTGGGATCCATTAAAGAGGCCAACTGCTGATCAGTCACTGCAACATCCATTTTTCCATGTAATATGAGCTCTCTCAATTGTACTTTCTTCTTTTGCATGAAAATCATTTTTACTGACATGTCCTGGTTCCTCTTGGATAGGTGGGTATGTGGGTTCCTTATCCACTTCGCGATCCTCTTGAGCTGAAGCTAAATAACAAGGGTTAATATTCTCTCTCACTTCTGGATTTTAAATCTAATCAGTCCAGTTTGTTTTATGTTGTTTATAGGATGTCTAATATCATTTTCTTTTCATGCAATTCAACAGGACCGAAGCCAAATCTTGAGTTAAATCTATGGGATTTTGGTGCTGAACCTGATGACTGTTTTCTTGGATTGACACTCGCTGTAAAGCCCAGTGTTTCAAACTTGGGTAAAAATCATTATGCCTTTGCACTCTTATCATTTTACTAACTGATATCTGATTCTGGAGATTGATAAGCTTAGTGATGGCCTGATGGGGCACGTCAAAATAATCAGTCTGCTATTCACTGCCACTTACCAGACCTGACTTGTGTGGTTAGCATAGATATTCAGCATGGACATCTTTAGTGCTGTCATTTTAGGTGCTTAGCAAGGCTCATGCAAAACACTCGCCCCAGTTTCTTGGTTTCAGGAATAAATTCTCCTCTCAAATCATGTGGAAGTAATAATTTAGGTATCATGTGTGCAGTGCTTTACTAATATGATGTCCATGGTTTTCACGGTCTTCCAATATGGTTAATGTTGGAGATAAATCTGAGACAAGGGCCTTTAATGGGAAGGGTATTGCTATGCATAGGATTAGATGGTCAGAGTGAATAACAAGTCAAGTTATACCTTTCATTGGTGTAGTTGACCCATTTAGCTGTTGTCAAGTGTAATGTCACAGGAATATCGATGCTAGTATTATACATGCAATAAAGAAACAATATAAACAGTGCCTGGAATGTTGATGAATTCTTGTTTCTCTCTCCCTCCCAATTATTCAATTCTTAGCTCTCCAGAGGACCAAACCATTATATTGCTTAGTTATTTTGTATCTTTGTAGGGGACAAACTAATATATGTTTAACTAGGAGACTTATTTCATGCAGAGGTAGTCCGGAATGTTCCTCAAGGCATGCGGGAGGTGAGTTAGTACAACGAACTTAAGATGGCTATTTAGCATATGTATAATGATATAAATGACATGGAACTAGTTGCTTTGCCAGCTGAAATTTTGTATAACATGTAATGCAGGATTTTGTGTTTTGCTCTGATTTAAAAGGTCGCCAAGAACAGTCAGGTAATTGTTTGGTTGGACCTTGCAGGTATCATTTAGCACTCTTTGTATTTAGTGGAAAACAATTCCTGAAAAACTTCTCTTGGTAATTTCCAAAGTATTTAGTATCTTGGTGGATATATTTACTGTCATACTCGGAGAGATCTTCTGTCTGTTTAATGAGTTCACCGAAACTTCTGCCCAGGAAACCTATTTTGTGGAAACTGTAAATGAACACTGTTTGTGGAAGATTGAAACTTACATCAAGCACCTTGATGGTGCTTGGAGGCCACAGGGTTCCCTAGCTTTATGTTGAAAATATTCTAAAGTACGTGCTGGTTGAAGTATATATGTATTGTCCTACGCCGAGTGCAAGTTCCATCAAATGTTTAGGAACTGTAGTCATAGGTTTTTTATGATGCTGCTTGGTTATACGAGATATTTGCTCTAACCTTCGAATTTTTCAACTAATCTGTTCCGGTTTAATTTGTGATCCAGTTTTTTGGTCGCTGCTATCTCCTGATCAAAATGGAATCCACCCTCCAGTGGAATCATCGCTATCATTATCATTTAGGTGAGTTCTTTTCTGTGGTGACACCGAAAAGAGAAGTATCTAAAGATGTCCACCAACTCTCATCTGTCTGCATTGCTTTGATACTATCATCTAGTTTTTGTTCTGCTCAGTTGTCTGTATTGCTAGTCTTTTGTTGGCCATCTTCATGCCTAGACAGGTCGGTTATATCCATGATAACATGATCTTCTGATCTATTTTTTCTTTCGGTGTAATTCCTTGGTAGTTCGATTCAGCATCCATCGGTTGGAGTTCCACAATCATCTGGCTTCACAATTACATCACTACAGCCTAACTTCTTAGATTGCCCATTATTGGCCATGTCCTCCCCACTTCAACAAGGTCATTACCTCTGACTGACTTGATTGGTTGGATCAAATAAGAAAGGCGTACAAATAACTGGTAATTTATTTTATTTGATTTTGTAAAGTTTATTTAGCACCTGCATAGTTTCATTCTTGATCGATGCAATGCAACTGCAGCATGTCATTGGCAGAAAATACAGGCCCTGGGAAAATCAAATCTCCCCGGACCAAAATTGACTCAAAGTTCACTTTAATGTACATTTACACGATGGGGCAGCCAATTGAAAATTTTAATATTTAAGTATTTGGCCCTTCCAGCGATATCTTATTCTCTCATATCTTTTTATTCATTTTATGGAGATGGTGTCTTTTCTTTCCTTTTCAAATCCCCACTTCTGAAATTCTAATTCTGCCCTACACGAACGATCTCTTTGAAAGTATCAATGGTGCAAAACCATTCGCATTAAAGTTTTCTTTGTCCTCTTGTAGGGTGAGAGAGAGAGAGAGATTAAGATAACATTTAGTTACTGGTCTGGGAAAAAAAAATAGAAATAATATTTTGAAGAAGATGACATTTAGTTATTGGTCTGGGAAAAAAAAAATAGAAATAATATTTTGAAGATATATAAATTCATTTTAAAGCTATCGAGCAAATAAATTTACTGTCTTTTTAACTAAACATGTGTTTGTTTTATTTTTATGTGTTTTTTTTTACGGAACACCTGCTAAATGTAAACTAGTAATCATTCTGGAAGGCTGTAGCTTTTAATTGCGGTGGTTATTATAAAAAATTTGGGTGATACATGCTTATGATGAAATGCTTATTGTTTTCAAGTAGCTTTCAAAACAGCTTTAAAAAATGGCCACAAACCACTGGGTCTGAAGGGTTTGTTTTTTAATATGTTTTGAAAGTATGTTCATGTATTTTAATATGTTAATATTAAAAATAAAAAGAAATTAAAATTTTTAAATATATTTCCTAACAAGATATTTTTTTTAAATAATTAGCATAATAATACCAAATTAACACTTCGCCCTGCTATTCTCTCAACCACAAACATTTCTGCTATTTTCGACTTATTATTTTCCCTTCATTACCAGCATGATAACTTTAATGTTTTGAATCAAATTCTTCTTTGCTGTGCGTTTTTCTTCGAAAGCCTCATAACTTTCAAATCCATTTATATGGACACACATGAAAATGATAAGCAAGAGTCTAAAATCCATGAATTCTGTAAAGAATTCATATCCTCACGAGCCAGTCTCAATGAAATCTGCATCACTTCATACAGTAAAATTCAACACTACTTTCCCATGACTTTTCTACAGTATTAGATACCGTTCTTCTCGCGACAACAATAATATTCCTTATTCCTGTGATTTATTATTAGTCTTAAATTCAAGTCAGAGTTTTCTCCATTTAAATTATTCTTTCATGATATATATATCTAACATGAGCTCCACCTTCATTTTAACTGTACTATTAATATAAAAAAAATGACCGGACCTGGTAGTTTTTGAATTTTCTGGATAATTTTGATTTTTTTATTTTAAAAACCAAAAAAATAATAGAACTGAACTAAATTGAAGAAACCCACACAAAATTTAATTAAAAGATTCATGGATTAAATTGAGTTTATTTGGTTTTTAAAAATATAAAATGTTTGGTTCGGTTATTCAGTTCGGATCAATTTCAATTTCTTTTTTGAAAAATCGAAGGAATTGAATTTTTTATCCGAACTAAGCTTTTATAATCAGCGCTTACTCCTTTTTGCAACATTGATGCGTAAGTATAACATGAATCTTCACTTGCTATAAGCCACGAGTATGATTACATTTATCAATCTGAAAACCCATAGTTATTTTGTACAAATATACAGTCAATCTTTTTCAAACTTTACTATAAAAAATATGGTGCAAAGCTCGCATAAACAAAATAATAAAACAAAATAAATACATATAAAGTTTAATGTGGTTCAACAAATATAATATTAATAATATAATAAATTCTCCCAAGAAGAGAACCTCTAAATAAATTAATTACCTCACAGTCCAAAACCCCAACACACCCAAGATCGATACTCACAAATATCACTACAAAATAATCTCCACAAATACTTCAAGGACTTCTTTACAACTTCTTGGAAACTTCATGCACTATTGTGCTACTACCATAGCTCTCCTCACAAAGACAACAATTATGCTGCCACATCACACGCTTTTGCGGCAAAACTTGCTCTTTTATTCTGCTTCTTTTTAACAAGTTCTCGTCAGTGCAAGACAATAATTTTTTGTCTCCTTATTTGGGGTGTTTGAGATTACACTTGCACCATGTTTTTTTATTAAATATTTTTTAGTTTTAAATAAAAAATTTAATATATTTTTGGATTATTTTAATATATTTATGTAGAAAATAAATTTTAAAAAATAAAAAATATTATTTTTATATATTTTTAAATAAAAATAACATTTAACACACTCCTAAATAGCTACTTAATGATGTATGATATAGGGTGGTCTAAAGTTCAGGTCAAGATTTTATCAATATTTTTTATTAGTTTTATATAGAAAAACTTTATGATTCTTAATTGAAATATTAAGAAATTCTAAAAATTTACATGGAGCCTTCTAATATGATGTTTTAACTTGGGTTAAAATTTTATAAATTTTGAAAAAATTTAAAAATTTGATAAAAAAAAATATAATGTGATCAGTTTTATGTTATTGAATGTAATCTTCAATTTGATCATCAGATTAAACTGAAATTTTATGAGGAATCTTAAAATATATTGAATAAAATCTGGTTAAAATTTTATAATGAACAGAGTTTGGTAGTGCTAACAAAAAAAAATCATATAAAAGTAAAATGACTCATTAAGGATAAAATAATTAAATGCTAACAAAAAAAAATCATATAAAAATAAAATAACTCATTAAGGGTAAAATAATTATTTTTCATTAAAAAATAAAACAAATTAGTTGTTCTTTCTTTTTATATATTGCCAACTGGATAGAAGCATAATATAAAAAGAAAAAAAAAGGCAAGAGAAAAAAAGAGAAAAATAAAAAAAAACATAAAAAAAATCTAATAAAAAAATAAGAAAAATGAGGGAATAATCTTGTAAACTTACAAAGTCCAACTTATAAAATATTAATATAAAAAAAATAAAATGAAGAAAGAATGAATCAAGAAAGGAAAAGAATTTAATTATTTTATTTTTTAGTTGATATAAGATTATTATTTTATTTTAATTGAGGGGTTGTTACAATATCGATTCAGATTTGATTATAAATAAATTATATTCCACAAACATTAAAGGATGTAAGTTCAATAATAAATTTATTTTTATTTATTTTTTAATATTTTAGATAGTGTATTTAAATTAAAACTTTATAGTTAACTTTAAAGATTTATATACATAAATTAATATTTTATCTTAAAAAATATTTATATATGTATTTAATATTTCAGGGAGGAAAAATTCCTGCTCCACCCGTGTGTATAAAAAAAAGTTTTCCAAACCATGAGTCATCCACCGGATCGACTGAATTTCCTTCGTTAAACTGCATGGCCTCCCAGACATAGGTCAATTATTTTTTGGATGACTAGGGAAGCCGGACTCTGTTTTAAAACCAGAAAAGGTCCTTTTCTAGAAGGTAACCTTGACCATTAAAAAACATTAAAAAAAAGAATTAAAGAAAAAGAAAATACCAATTTATAAATAGAAGACTGGGGTGCCCGCGTAAGAAGTCATCCATGAAAAGTATTTTTTACGCTTCGGTTCTCTTGTTCCTCTCTGTGTCTCCTTTCTCCGGAACCTTCACACTTGACTTTTTCTTGCTTTAGGAATTAACGAGCCCCCTCCAAGATTAACCTTGATCACGGCGTAATCTTTCTGCAAATGGCGTATGCATGACTTGTATATTTTGCTTTTAGATCAACACGTGACCTATTCGGAATGATCAGAGCTGCGTCCGTTGCGAGCCAGAAAAAAGTGTAATCGTCTCCTCAATTCTAATGTTTTCGACGGTGATCGTGGTACAGGGATGCAATAATCCATCCTCAAGGTTTCCTATGGAAGCCGATTCGATTGGGTTTAGTATTAATTTTATTTTTTTCAATAGGATTCATGGATTTTATTCTATGATTTCTGAAATGTTTTATAATTTTATGTATATATTTAAAATTTAATTTCAATTTGATAGTTTTATAGTTTACGATTGAAGAAGTAATTTTAGAGCTCAAATTTTATTTTATTTTAAAATTATTTTAAAAATACAAAAATGGATTGTATCATGTATCCTATATGGCAGGATGGAGAAATTTCGAAATTTCTCACTCGGTCCGATTTGATCCAGTGATTGAAATATAGAGATGGATGATGAATTTAGGTTTTCTGCATTGGAAGAAGGTGGAGCAAAATCAGCTTCATCCCCATGCATGCAAAGAGAATTCAGAAAGAAAGAAAAAATCATGCGATTTTTGTCGGATAATATGCAGGAAAAAAAATTATATAAGCAAGTAATTAAGTGGGAAGAACAACATTACCTCATCGAAAATCATCAATCACATATGATACAAAAATATTTTACAAGGCGAGAAACTTGAAATTATATGGTATAATTAAGCATTTTCTGTGAAATATCCCACTGCATCCTTGTAATTGCTCCATAAATCTGTCATTATGGTTGAAATCATCTGTCTGAAATCCTCGGCAAGCTGAGATAATGAATTTTCCAATACCCCATCAAGAGAAGCCCTTGTCTTTTCCACCAGATCTCCGAGAGCTGATCCTGTGAGAGCAGCAGAGCCTGAAATGCCTTCTATCAGAAGATCAAAAGCAGAAGCGGCTGAAGAACTTATCTTTCCCACAATAAACTGCAAGGCATACTCAAAGCATGCCCTGATAGCATCGGCGATCAGTTGTAATCCTCCTTGGACAGCTTGGCCAGGTAATCTGCATCCTTGGATAATTAACACAAGAAGGTAAGCAGTCGCGGAGAAGATTAAGCGAGAAACGAGGCTTGATAATGCAGTGACGGCCAAGAAAATGAACCTGACAAGAAAAAAAACCATGTCTCGTTTATTTTTGAGAGACAGAGGAGAAGACTTGGGGAGGAAGGTTGCAAAGACACATCTATTTTTAATTGTATTATGTTGCAGAGGTATATTTATGGTGTAGAATCTTTGATTGAATCAAACTGTGGAACTTTTCAAAACTGAGGTGACGTTGGCTATGGGATTAGTTTATACAGTTGAACCCACAGAATCCCATGTAGATAATTTGTTTTACGTGTGGTGTTTTTAATTTTAAGGGGTAGTCGTTG